CATGATTTAAAGTCAAGAAGGGTGTGTTTTAGGATGTGTCCTTTATCCATGTCTATTCAATTTGTATGCTAAGCAAATAGTTTGTGAAGCTGGACCCTATGAAAGATGAATCAGGATTGGAGGAAGAGCCATCAGTAACCCGTGTTGTACAAATGATACAACTTATGTTGCTGAAAGTGAGGTGGATATGTAATACTTGCTGCAGAAGATCAAGGACTTCAGCCTTTGGTATGAATTGCATTTCAACATCAAGAAAAACTAAGGACCTCATCACAGGACTAGCAGTCATCATTGTAATAGGTGCAGGAAGGATTGAAGCTGTCCGTGGCTTCATCTTGCTTGGATCTACAATTGAAGGATTGAAGCTGTCCATGATTTCATCTTGCTTGGATCTGCTTTCAGCACTCTTGGTACCAGCAGTGAGGAAATAGAGTTGTATTGCATTGGGAAAGACTGCTGTCAGTGGTCTCTCTAAAATGCTGAAGAGCAATGATGTCAATTTGAAGACTGAGATGTGCCTGATTCAGGCCACGGTCTTCTCAATCACCTGCTGTACATCAGAAAGCTAGACAGTGAATAAGGATGACAGAAGAATAATTGATGCCTTTGAGTTGTGGTACTGGAGGAGAGTACAGACTATCCAGTGGACTGACAGAAGAACAGATATGTCTTGGAATAAGTGTAGCCAGAGTGCTCCTTGGAGGCAAAGATGGCAAAGCTTTGTCTTTTATACTTTGGACATATAGCTAGGTGACACTGTTCCTTGGAAGGGGACATCATGCTTGGAAAGAAGAAAGGTCAGCAAAGGAGAGGAAGAGACCCAAAGAGGTAGACTGACACAGTGACTTCAGCAGTGGACTCTAGTGTATCATAGATGATGAGGACAGCACAAGATCAGTTAGGGTTCGGATCGGCTGTTCATAAGGTTGCTATGATTCATACTTGACTCGATAGCACTTAACAGCAACAACAGCAGCAATATAACATTAACTTGAACAAGTTTTTCACATCCAGTTATTGGATTTAAAAATCTGTGTCTATCTTTCCAGTCTCCTGTTTGGTTGGACGAGATGGAGTGAGAGCCCCATTCATGTAATTTTCTCAGTCATGCCATTGAGTAGCCTCCTGTTTACTCCATGCTCAGGGTGTTGTAAGGACTAAGAGGGCGCTATGTGGAAGTATCCAAACGCAGGCTCTCGTGGTGGCCTGTGGCAGAACATTGTCAAATCTTCCAGACCATACTGTGACCCAGCACCAGGCATGTTGTGCCAAGCCTGCCCTGTGCCTGTAGTCATAGAGGTGCTGAGGCAAATATTGGGCTTTGAATTTTGAGAATTGTTTTAGTGACTGTATCTTGTATCAGAGGAACTATTGTGAGACACAGTAGTTTCACAAATCAAGTTCAAAGGAGTTCTTATCCTCTAAAGTTCTGTCTAGGCTCTCACATCATTGTCTCTTTCATTTGACTGATGTGTATTAGTTTTCTCGGTCTTCTATACAATCGCAAATTGAGTAGCTCAGAATGGGGAAACTTATTCTTTTATCATTTTGGAGGCTAGAGTTCTGAAGTGAAGGTACCAGGGAGGCCAGGCCTCGCTAAAGCTCACTAAAGATTCTTCCTTGTCTCTGCAGGCTTCTAGTGGGGTCAGCACTTCATAAATTGTGGCAACATTGCTCCTGTCTCTGACTCTGCCTTCACATAGCCATCTTCCTGGGTCTGTCTCTCTCCTCTTTTGCATAGGATTTTAGTTCAGCTCACCAAACAGCCTTCCTTTTAGCTTTATCACATCTTCAAAGACTTATTTCCAAACATGTCCACATTCACAATGAGCGGGCCAGAACATCAGAACACACAGTTATAACACCACAATTTGTCTCCCACTGGTGCTTTAAGAATGACAAACATAACAGACTTCTTTCCACGGGTCCAGTTGAGTTCTTCTGGTGGCTTTTGCCATTTGTGATGCATTATGTCATGAGTTGGATTCACACAATTCTCTCTGGGACTCTTGTTCAAGAGTTCTCAGTTGGACATTTAACATATGTATGTCTTTCTCTCAAATTCTAAATTACACAAATTACACAGACTGAGCAGAAAAGTCTCTGGTTTATCTCAAAGCCAGATGTCAAGGTAATGAAAAAGCAGTGCTTGCCTTTGGCCCACCTGTTGTGTAGGAAAAAAATGTAAGTGTGGGAGAGGTCATTACAGTAAGCATCCTTGGGCAGAAAAACAAAGGACCAGAACATGAATATAGAGGAACTGAAGCATCACTATTGTGTTTTACTATCCTCATACTTTACACCTACCTCCAATATTGTTTCTTTTGTGAAGGAATCAGTCCCATCTTCCTGCTTTTCTCCCAAAGGTTTCCTCTTTGTCCCACAAGTCTGGTTGGAACCATGCTTCCCAGCCCTGGGCAGGATGGAACCGTTGGTTCTATCGGGTCTATTAGTAGTTGACAGTTATCCTGAGCACTGAGTTCAGGAAAGCTCGAATTTGCTTTTTTCCAGTTGTCATAGAAACAGATTGCTTCCTCTTTTAGTGAAAGTTTATGGAAGAATTGCTTTTCCATCTAAACGTTCATGCAGATTTTGTTTCATCATATTAATTACAGTCCCACACTGTTACAGACCTCTTCCCACTTCTGCCTGGGATTCTTATTTCTGTCCATTCGTCTGTCCTATCCCTTCCTGCATACTCACGTTTTCTCTCTGGACAAATGTTACCCTTTTTATGTAGTCTGATTGATTGTTCTAAGGAATGAGTACCTCTCTGGTGTTCTTATTCATCTTATGTTTATTGTCTGGCTGAAAGTTGAGCCACAGAGCTGAATGTTGATACATTAAAGAAATGCTCACTGTAGCATTATACATGGCAGCAAAGAGATGGAAACAACCTAAGTCTACTAATGGATGAATGGATAAACTAACCACATTACATACACATAATGGAATTATGACATAACATTAAAGACTAATATAGATTTTACAGAATATCAAATAACATGAATGAATTTGGAAGACATGAAATAAATTATTGTTGTTGTTGTTATGTGCCAGAGTTGCTTGTGACTCATAGCGACCCTAAGTACAACAGCCCTAAACCCTGCTCTATCCTGTGCCAATCTCATTGTCTCTGACACACCCATCCCGATTACCCCAGTTACTAAATCAATCCACATCATAGAGGGTCTTCCTCTCCTGCGCCATCCCTCCACCCTCCCGAGTATGATGTCCTTCTCCAAGGACCGGTCTCTCCATACAACATGATCAAAGTACGTCAGATGAAGCCTCAGAATAGTCATAAAAATATTACTGTTGGATGAGTTCACTATTATAAAACGTTAAGGAAAATTTTGACAAAAAAGCAACCATTTTTTGATATCAGAGATGCATGTAGAGGAGGAGGCAAGAAGAAATCAGTAACTAAATAATAGACATATTAAATGGGTAAAGAGGAAGGCAATATACAATAAGAGGTGATCAGCGTAATATCTTTAGAAGGCAATAAGAAAGAAAGAAGTGTGACACAGATAGCAAAGGTATATACAACTACACAGCAAAATTCTGCGCTGTCACGAATAACAAGTATTAATTTACAAGTGGATATGTAGACAGACACACAAACTGAACAGATATGACAGGGGAAAGACTATATTCATGACCACACACACATAGGTTTGTCAGATGAGATAGTTACATATAACTATTTTTATGTGTTGTAAATATAAGAATGAGTATGGTAGATTCAATAGGCAGCAAAGTTATATCCATTTCTTAATCACCACCAAACACCCTGAGGGCCTCAGGACTATATCCTCGAGGAATATCAAGGTCAGTGGACATATGTGAGTCCACGAAAGCAATGTTCTGCATCCTATTTTGATAAGCAATGACTGAAGCCTTAAAAACTGGCAAAAAGGAATGAAGTTGTTATTTCGTGTCATTAAGTCAGGACTGACTCATAGCTGACCCGTGAGTGGGTTCTCTCAGGCAGTAAATTATAAGGCAGAGGAGATTTCCCAGGTTTCTCCTGCAGAGAAGCTAATGGATCCAAACTGTGTGCATTTGTGTTGGCAGTGCAGCTCCTTACCACTAGTCCACAGGAAGAGCAAAGAAAAATCAAAGGCTCCTAGTTAGAATTAGTCCAAAGGACTAATGGATCACACAGACTTCAGTCTCCACTGCCTGGGACCTGAAGAACTGCACCGTGCACCGCTACCAACTGCTGCCCAATCTAAAAGGGACCCCAGACACAGGGAGAGAAATGTGGGGCAAATCAAATCACAGAAGTGACCACGTTTGTCTAAGAGAGACTCGCAGAACCCCTGTGCCTAGGGTATTCACTGACCCTGGAACAACACTCAGCTGGAACAGAACTCCGCTCTGTGGCTTAATATTCATCCAGACAATAAACATGCTTATAAGATGAGCAGTTAACACCAGGAAGGCACTTCGTGGACTTTCCTTATAGTCTTGAATTTTAACTTCTTGGCATCTCTGGTGGCATAGCACATAAAGAGGTGAGCTGCTATTCAAAAGGTGAACCCCCTTTGATGATTTGAAATCACCAGGAGCTTCTCAGGAGAAAGATGGGCAGTCCTCTCTCATGTGATTTAATGCCCTTGAGAACCCGCTGGAGAGTCGGTTCTGACTCGATGGTATACAGCAACAACAACAGTTAGTTTTACTAAGGAATTCTGGTGGTGTGTTAACTGAAAGCACAGTATTTTGAAACCACCAGCTGCTCTGAGGAAGAAAAATGTGGACTCCCCTCTCATAAAGATTTACAGTCTGAAATAGGAAGGAGGGTCATTGTAAGTTTCAATCCACGTGATGCAGTGGGTTTGGGTTTTATTACTAGTTTTATTATGTCTATTGAAATATATTTTAAAATTCATTAAACTTTATATGACAGTCCATACTGTACTTCAGTTTCGAAATAATTTCTTTGCAATTTAAATCCTGAATGATCTCATTATTTTACATCTGTTTTTCAGGGAATACCTTGGCAAACAGCTGCAATCTGAGCAGCCCCAGACGGCTGTGGCCCGAAGCTGAAGTCTACTCTGTGAATTTCCAGCTTTCCATTCATTTCCCCTGGGACCTGGAAAGAAAATCTTCACAATTATGGTCAAGGATAAATAATTTTAAAATTGACTTGTAGTTTTCTTCTGTTGTGTAGCTTTTTCCTTGTGCTGATTTTAGTAGAAGTGTTTCTCTATTAAGTTGTATAAAAAGTAGGCACTTTCTATATAGAAGGAAAACATTACTGTTACTTATACTGCTTGCAATTTCTGTATTTGTCTCTGGAAATGAATTATTAAATGAACTATTAAAGCACTCTCACTCCAAATTTGTTGTTTCTCCTGATATATTTCTTTTGTTGGACTTTGGAAAAGTTACCTGTTAATACTCCCCTTTAAACCAGATTGAGAATTATTATGTTAAAACAGCTCCATGGGAGAAAGATAGACAGTCTTCTCCCATTTGTTTACAGGCTTAAAAATGCAATGGTGGATCAGCTATCAGTCTAACACAATGGTACGGAGTTTTGCATTTGACTGAATAGTTAACTTTTAAAATGGGTTCTATCTGCCTGCTTTTATGTTTATCATCTCCCTGTGTCATCTGTTAGTTATCTACCTGTACACAAACAACACATGCAGCAATCCTCTGCTCTGTTTAGAGCTAATCTCTAAAGAGCTCCCACATTTTAAGTTAATTTGTAATAAAATGCTGTGGTCCAAAGATTTACTTTTGTTGCTTGTGAAGACTTTTACCTTGAGGCTTATGTTGTGTGCCATTGAGTCATAACCGACTTCATAACTGATCCTCCAGTGGGTTTTCAGAGGCAGTAAATCGCACAGGAGGAGATTGCCAATCCTTGTTCCTCAGCTGGTGAATTTGAACTGTGTACCTCTGGGATTGTAGTGCAGTTTCGTACTGCTAGGCCGTCAGAGGTCCACAGATTAGATTCCCTGTATTTTTATCCTTGGTGTTTAATACCTAAAGCTTGCTTGCTTTATTACTTTTAGGCTAAATACTGCCAAATAGAGGTTTAATTTTTATCTCCACTCCTGGAATATAGCCCTTTACACAGTGGGAGCCTCTTAGCAGATGGGCGGGCAGCCACCTTAGGCAGCACCTCTTCCAGCGGGGCCGTGTGTGTGTGTGTGTGTGTGTGTTCTAACTTCATCAGCTCACTATCACTTTTTATTCACTTTCTCTTCATATTTCATTCCTAGAAGCTCCCTGAACATTGACTGGATATCCTGTGGCTAATAAATAATTTGTTTTTTTAAGCTTTTTATTCCCATTAAAAACACTCATGGAACAACAGTGAAAGAATTTTTTTTTCCCCCCAAAGAGAAAAGCAAATAGGAGGGATTGGGCGGGAAGGAAAAACAGAAAAATAACCAAAACCACCCAACACTCATGAACTCATTTCCTGTTTAAGGATCAAAGGATTGCTTCTGTTTCAAACCAGAAACTTTGAAGGGAGAGTCTATGGACAAAGCCAGTAGTTTTTTGGTTCAGTGGGTTCATGGGACTTCATATTTGCTGGAAAGTAGATGGTCTAATCAAACTAGTAGGATTTATTTTTTGTGGATTTTTAACTGAACGTTATAGATTTTGAAAATTGCTTAAACCTAGAAAGGGAGGGATATCATGCTTGGAAAAGTGGAAGGTCAGTGAAAGAGAAGAAGACCCTCAAATGCATGGATTGACACAGTGAATGCAGCAGTGGTTTCAAGTATGTCAGAGGTGATGAGGATGGCCCAGGATAAGCCAGGAGTCAGATCTGTTGTTCATATAGGGTCATACTCAGCAACACCCAACATAACAACAGCAGTGAGATTAATTTCATACACTGAAAAATACTAGAATTTTCTTAGTAGGGCAAACTGCATTAGCAAGAAAGCAATTTTTGTATTAATATATTTTTGGGGCTATAATGTTACCACTTAACAGTAACAGTGACAACATAGAGCTCTGTTGGCTTAGTGGACAGAAAAAGTTATGCTACCAAGCCAAAGGTGGGAGATTTTAATCTGTGGCCCCCAGGCCTGGTTTAAATTGTTTTTTGTCAAATTCTAAGTGATATAGCGCTGGTCTGTGAATTGCTGTACAGCGGTAACTCATGGTTGCTGTGATGCTAAACACTGTGACACTGATGTGTCAAATGTGATAATGGTTACCCATGGTGGACAGTGTTTGGTGGAGCTTCCCAATTAAAACAAGCTTGGAAGTGTTAGTCTGGGCAAAGGGGGCCAAAGAGAACAATGAAAAATTCAGAACTCAAATGCTGATGCCTTTACCTGTTGTTGATAAGAAGAGCAAATGGCCTTGCATGTCTGGCTGAGCTAGCAGGTGGCTCCTAAATGTCACTCCCTAAAGACTCTGTTTATAAAAATCATCCGCAGTAAGTTCATGGTGTGACTTCCCATTCTGCATCTCCAGGATGAGAAACTCACCCTGGAGCTCCACTTACCCCCCCAGGATGAGGAACTCACCCGAGAGCTCCCTTTGCCCGTCTTTAATCAAGCTGCATTAAGCTTTCCCCTGTTCTCTCTGATTTCTTCTTTAAGTCCACTAACCCTAACAGGAAGCAGGAGTGGCATCCACTTCTGAAATGGCTTGCCTCTGGAAACTATGAGTATGGTAAAAGGACTGAAGTTATACAAGTGTCCAGGTCTTTTGTTCATAAGGTCTCTATGAGTCATCTACAACTTGACCACACTTAACAATAACAACAACAACGTTACCAGGTTTTTGTTAGGTGCCTTCACATTGACTGTTACAACTCAACGCAACCCTGTGAACAATAAGAGGTGAACCTTGCCAGCAAATTTTCTCAATGCAATGTGTCTTCTGATTTTAAAAAATATTTAATACTGGTTTGCAAAATTCATATACCTGTGTATCATTCCTGTACACTGGATTTTACATTTCTGCATTCACATTGTGTTTCAAACATTAATCATATGGATCTATGTACTTTTTTAAAAAAAAATGTAAATAGACACCATTCTCTTAATGCCATGTTTCTAACACTTTAACAAAAACAATCGAGCCCCGAGTCATGGCAGAAGCCAGGGCTGGATTCCAGTCCCACTCGGGCTGTAACCCCAGGCGCAGACAGCATCTGAGTGACCGTGAAAGGCCAGGACGCCATGGATGGGCCCACGTGCCCAGCCCGGATCTATACTTGTACCCTGTCTTTTCAGGTCCTCATTGAATCCTAATTCTTTTACCTGCCCCCTGACTCCACTCACCAAACTCTTAATATCCCAGTGATTTCCTCCCCTCCCTGCCCTCTGCTGTTGCCCCACTTTCCTTTCTTCTTGGGGCTATTATATACATATTCTAGTTATTTTTACAATAATGGCTTTATGTAGTATTTGTCCTTGTGAGTCTTAGTTTAGTCATAATAATACTCTCTAGACTCTTGCATATTATACAGTATTTGTTGAAATTGTTACTCCTTAGTGCTTCATAGTATTTCATTGTGTGAATGTACCATAATTTCTCAGCTCTTTAATTTGTTGATAGACATTTGGGCTTTTTCCATTTTCTTGCTTTTGTGAATAATGCTGTTATAAATATGGGTATATAAATCTGTTTGTGTCTCAGTTCTATTTTCCTTGGGACATATTCCTAGCAGTGGGCTAGCTTTATTATATGGGATTTCTATGTTTATTTAGCCTTTTGAGGAAATGCCAAACTGCTTTCCAGAATGGTTGTACGTACCATTTTACAACCCTACCAGTAGTGCATAAGAGTTGCAATCTCTCCACATCTCTCCAACATTTATGGTTTGCTGTCCTGATAAACTTTGCCACTACTACTGGGTTGAGATGGTAACTCATTGTGGTTTTGATCTGCGTCTCTCTTATTGCCAGTGATTTTGAGCATTTCTTCATGCGTCTGTTGGCCATCTAATGCCTTCCTTTGTGTAAAGTCTTTCCATGTCTTTTGCCCACTTTTTGATTGGGTTACCAATCTTTTCCTTGTTTAAGTCCTGTAGTATTCTGTCAGCTTTCATTATGAGACCTTTACCTGAGTTGTCATTGCCAAATGTTTTTCCCAGGTCTGAAAGTTTTTTTACTTTACTGGGATAAGTTTTTTTATGTACACAGGGACTTAATTTTTGGAAGGGCCTATTTCTTAATTTGGTTCTTGCTTGGTTATGCAGTTCTGGCTATATTTGCAAGCTTATTCATGCTGTAGGTTAGGCCTTTTATGTTTGATCCATTTTGTTTCTTACGATTTGGGGCTTTACCCTTAGGAGTCTGATCAACCTTGAGTTGACTTTTGTGTATAGTATGAGACGTGGATCCTGCTTCAGCTTTCTGCAGGTTAGACACCCAGTTTTTCCAAGACCATTTGTTGAAAAGATTGTCATTTCCTCATTTGATAGATTTTGTTACTTTGTTGAATGCCAGTTGACTGTAGATGAATGAGTTAATTTCTGGATTCCTGATTCTGTTCCATTAGTCTATGTGTCTGTCAGTGTACCATTATCATGCTTTGTTTTGGTTATTAGTGCTGTGTAGTAGGTTTTGAGATTAGGGAGTGCTATGCCTCCCACTTAATTTTTATTTTTTAGAAGTGCTCTGCTTATTTGAGGTCTCTTTCCTTTTCAAATAAATTTGCCAGTTATCTTTTCTATCTCTTTGAAAAATGAGTTTGGAATCTGGATTGGGATTACATTAAACATGTAGATTACTTTTGATAGGACTGCATTTCACTATGTTGAGTCTTCTTGTCATGAACAGGGAATGCTTTTCCCATTAGTTAGATCTCTTAGTGTTTCTTGAAGTAGTCATTTTAAAGATCTTTGTGTCTCTAGTTGATTTATTTTCAAGTATCTTGGTTTGTGGTTGGTTATTGTAAATGTTTTTGCTTTCTTAGTTTCCTTTTCCATGTTCTCTTTGTTACTACAGAAATCCCACTAATTTTTGTATATTGATCTTATATCCTTCCATTCTACTAAATTTGTCTACTAAGTCTAACAAGTTTTTTGTTGAGTCTTTGGAGTTATGTTTGTACACTAT